AAAAAAAGATGAAAATGAATGAATGTTTAAAAATTATATTATTTACCTGTGACTTAAGATTTATTTCACGATTATTTAATGGACGGCATCGACATATTACGCGAACACTTTCCGCCATCCGTTCAGATTATATTTGATAATTGTTGGAATCTAAAAAGTTGAATATTGCATTCAAATAATAGTCGCTCGTAGCAACCGCTCTTAAAGCATAATGCATTCATTTATTTTATAATCCATTTTCACTATGCAAACATACATATTCAGACATACAAACATATATTATGGAATATACCTTAAGAAATACCGTGCACTTTCATACTTAAATTCCTTTAATTTAAGCTTTTTTCATTCCTAAATAAATGATTATTTCAAATATACCTTTCCTTCTTTTTTTTTTTAAACCTCATCCTTCTCCTACTGCTCCCAATCATTTATTTGAATATTTTTTTCAACTTTAATTATATATCTATAAATATATTATTCATATACAACTTATATTCATATCTATACTTATACCCATACACAATACACATACATGCACGCACACATAAGAAGATAAATACTAATAAACTGACATGTGACAGCATAGAAACAGCTGAATCAATGGTAATGGCTTATTTATTCATCAAAACAATTCTTCCACCTATTCCTTTCCTGTTTTCTATTTGCATTTAGTATAACTTAAATTAGCTTCCTGTATGCATTTATGCTTATTCAATTTTCTTCTTTAATTCATCTCATATTGATAAATCATTAAAAAGGTTGCAAACAATGATATAAAATCTAATCAATTAGCTGTTTTTCAAAACTTTAATCACGTTTGTTTGCCTCATTTTTCATTTTAATTATCCATATCATTATTATGATGTCATATTACATGCATTAAATGAAAGTAAAAATGTTTTTTTTTTCAAAATTTAAAATTTTCATTTAATAGGAATGCTTTAAAATAGAAGGAATATTTTAATGTTTACGTTTCTAAAGTAAAAATTTGGAAAAGAAAAAATGAATAAAATTGATTTTTTATTTTTGGTTCATCATAATATATTTTTCATGCCAATTGTTACTGAAATTCCAGCAAACAAACAATCCCTAATATTAATAGTAATGATAATAATTAATAATAATAACACAATAATGAATAACAAATGGTTAATAATAATGGCATTATGGATAATTAATAATAAAATAATAACGATGATAATAAATAATAAATAATGAAAAGTATAACAAGAAAAATTAACAATCAGAATGTCAGATTAAAATATATTCTGTTTCTCTCTAATTTCTATTTCTTTAAATATTTTTGAACAAGTAAATTAATAAAGTAAAAGAAGAAAATTTCAGATGGAAAAATCAAAATAATTACCGAAAGAATGAAAATGCTTTCAGAGGTCCCCTTTTTTCTTTCATTTTAATAATAATATTGTAAAATTGAATATTTAATTTCACTTCCTCCTTTTCTCCTTTCCCTATTATAGCTATATACGTTGATTTTACTTTCTTCTACCTGAAGAATTTTAAAAAGAAGAAAAAAATTGAATTCTATATTTAGTAATAAAGAAAAAAATTTTTTAAAAACCGTGATCATTTCATCATTTATCAATAAATCGATATTTTCAAATAGCTTTCAAAGAAATATTTTTCGACAATTCTTTTATGAAACAATTGAAGAGCAATAAACAAGCCATGTTAATTCAAGTTAATAATTGTAAAAAGAAAGATTGTAAAAAAAGCAATGTTGTGCACGAATTTTATTTATTATAATATTGTATAAACGTATATACACGCATAAATGCATGCCAATATGATAATATTTATTAAAAAATTTAATTAATTGTTATGAAACATTTTTTTCGTCTTCCTTCACAATATGCAATAATAGTTTCTAATTAAATTGTCATCCAATCAAATCTTATACTTTTTTCTCTTTCGATTTTTTTGATAATTTATAAACTTATTATACAACATTTTTCTTTTTTGACGTATGTTTTCCTTATATTGTTTTGTAAATTTGTTATGTTTGTATAAAAATAAATGCATATTTTTATCATTCTCGAAAATATTGAGAAAAATAATTTAATTTGATTCTGCTTTCCTTTTTTTGGAATAGAATAGAGGAGAGAAATAGTTGCACTACCAATCACAAAGTGATAAGTTATTTGGATTTAATGTAGCAATTTTACTGCTACTTGACAGTTCATTTCTTACATTTGTGATTAATTTGTTATTTTCACATTTGGTATTAAATGATTTGAGGGATTTCATTATAATAACTTTTGTGAGTTGAAATAAAATTTTTCGTTTCGAAATTTTATTGAATTAATTCAAAATCGAACGAAAAAAAGAAATTTCACAAATCAAAATCCTTCTCGCTCTTCTTTTTTGCAAATGCAAGTTTTTGTCGTGCATTTTCTTGCTGTCATTTCTATTAATCAACCGAATAGACATATAGTATGATTATCCGATATTAAATGTCACAGCGATTTGTGTTAGTATGGGAAAATTTAATAAAAATTATTTTGTTATAAGTATTAAAGGAAAAAAGAAAAAAAAAAGCAAAAAAAAAGGAAAAAGGAAAAACAAAAAATCACGTTATTGCTATTATAAAAATTATTGTATTGCTGGGTTTTTTTCTCTCATTGAACATTTAAAATTTTATAGAAATTGTATATATGAAATTAAATTTAAATCAATTTGAAGAATGATAAAAATTCAGATTTAATCAGTTGGAAAAATATGTGTTTAGCAGAATTTTGGACATATATTATTCATTCTATGTATAATGTTAAACTATTTTTTCCTATATTATTTCTTCCATTTAAAATTTCACATTCAAAATTAGATGAAATTAAAACAATGGTTACCATAAGTGATGATTTAAAGAAATTTACTGTCATCGTAATTACTGAATCGGTTTTATATTTTTTATAACGAGTGCAAAAAAAAAAAACAGTGAAAAAAATTTCATTTGCATAATTATCAATACTGATATACGATATCTATTGACTAGTTGAAGAGTGAATTTTGAAAACGATTGAAATATTTCAAAAAAAATTTTCTCATTTATTAAGCAATAAATAGTGCTGTTGAAAATAATTCAATTCAAGCATTGCATATAAACTTTTTTTCTAATTTACTTAGACATCATGATATATCCACAATATGATATCAGCTTTAATTAAAAGTTTTTCATTAAGCATTGATAACATAACGAAAAATATTTTTCACATTAATTAATATTCATTTATCCATTTCATTTCTTGATGACAAAAAACCTCATATACAATAAACGGGAAAAAATGCAAAAAAAATTAATAATTAATAAATATTATGGCATTATTATTATTGCTGAGCAAAAATAAAATTATATAATTAAAAAGTATTTTATCCATTATGTATAGGAAATTTATAAATATATGTAATAAATAAATTTATGCAATTTTTTCCTATCGTTTTTTTTTTGAGTTATCTACTTGTTTCTTTTATTTTTCCCCCAAACAAAACTCTACCCATTTGATATAGCATGTATTTTATGGTATAATTAATTTCTTAATTTTTGTTTGTTGAACAATGTTTGATAAATATGCAATAATTGCAAAAGGAAAAAAATTAAATAAAACAAGGAACAAGTTTCTGGCTTATGTTTTGGAATGTTTTTGACAAAATTTAAAAAAAAAAATTAAGTTTTTGCCTTCTTTCTTCATTCGTTCATAACAATAATTGCATGTTACAAATGTTTGAAAGAGATGAAAGAGAAGTGGGAATTATTATAAAATAATTGCGGTAAGAAAATTTCAACATTTCAACAGAGAAAAACTTCAGGAAACTGCAAAAATACATGAATTTGAAAATTAGAAAGTAATAGAAGAAATATAAATTACTAATAAATGGCACTAACAAAAAAAGAATCTATGGAAATTATATTTTTGGAATATAAGTATACACTCTCGAGTAGTGGTTATCTTGATTGTTGACGATTGTACACTCGAGATCTTACATGTTATGTATGTGAGTGTTTAGTAAAATTTTGCGAAATTTTTTTTATTATGAGTGACATTGACATACTGTTTTTGTTAGAACTGTCTAGGATGAATTAATTATAAATTATCAGTAAGTTACGTTATTGAAACTTCTCAAATGTAATCCCATATCAGGTATAAAATTACTTAAAATACAATTATCTTGAACTATTGGATAAAATGAATTAACTTGTTGATTTCAACACATGCGTGTTAATGTTTGTTGAAGTGAATGAAATTATGCCTTTCATTCCTCCGAATGCCTTTCAGCAGTTATCACTCACTTAAACAATGCATCGATGGAATTTCATACTTCCAAGTGATTAAATATACTTAAAAGAAAACGAAAATCATTAAGGATAGTTTGTTTTTTAATTTAACAAATATTTAATGTAAATAGAAAATCATACCTCACTTCTCTTATTCCTCCTTGACAATTTTTTGATGATATAAAAAATTGCAATTTAATTTCACAGCACAATACAGCACATCAATTTTCCTTTTTCTCATTTAATTTCCTATTGGAAGAAAAAAAAAACGGGAAATAAATTTTTGAAACACAAAAGTAGCAAATTGAAAATTTTTACAGATTATTACAAATGAAAAGAAAATGTAAAACCCGAATAATATGACCTACAAATTACTTATTACGCAACGGATGACACACATGATAATGATGATGATGATGATAATGATGATGATGATGATGATGATGATGACAATGATGATGGTGATGATTGCGGTGACGATTGCGACACTGATGTTGATGATGCTGGTGATGGCGATGATAATGATAATGTTGTTTGCACGGCAACTGCAGCAGCAGTGCCAAATCGTTGCTGTCGTTTCGATCGCCGTGGCAATGATTTTTTAAGCATCAAATCAGTATTTGGAAAAACGGCATAGGCTTTCCGCCGTCCGCTGTATAGTCGATTACGGCATGCTGGTGGTGTAGTTGGTGGAGTAGTTTCCGGTAAAGGTGGTGGTACATTATTTAAAATATGCTTCAGATTTGGTGGTTCACGTTTTACGGATGCCAAATTTGATAATTTGGATACTGTAGATGAAATAGCATTTTCCGCCAATGTATTTGCACCATTTTGCTGATTATAAATTGTTTTGGATATATCAGAAGATAAATGAGGTTTTGGATTAAGTCGTTGTGATGTTGTCACCAATGTTATACGAGATGAAGATGTGGTAGGTATTCTGGAAATTTGTACAACTTTGGTAACTGATCGTGGCATTAAATTGCTAAATACAGGAATCTTATCTGGTATTATTGTACATTGCTGAATTTTTTTAAGACAAGGATCCGGTTGTATATCATCATTTTCTTTTCTTTTTCCTTCCAATTCAACTTCATTCAACTTTCCACTTTTATCCTTTTTCTGTATTTGCTCTGATTCTTGTTTCTGATTTTGTGCTAATACTTTTTGATTCTGTACATCCTCATCACTCATCGAATCACATCCAGAATCCACTGAATTTAGCGATTTTGGTGAAAGCTCATCAATACGTTCATTCATTCGACTTGGTGGTCTCGGTATTTCCAGATATTCATCACTTTCGCTATCCTCTGAGATCGTTGTTAGCGTTGGAACATGTCGCTTCATCCTAATCCGATCCTTAGCTATATCAATCATTTTCCGTAGTTCGTATACAAATTGCACAGCTAACACTGGTGGATTAGCCATTAATTCAGGTTCAAAGAAATCTAAAATAATTACATTAATCAAAATTAAAACATCAATGTTTCAATATGTTGTAGCTTATATTTCAGAATCTTGAAAAGATCATTTTTTTTCCACATTCATTCTGTTTTTTTCAAGCATGCAAAAAGAAAAATTACAGTCAAAAATATAAATTTGTATAAATTAAATCGAAATTATAAATTATACTTAAATAGTTTGTTGTACGGTGCGAGAAAAAAAACTGTCCTAAAACATTTAAATTTTACTATCAAATTTTAATTATAAATTTCACATATATGAAAAGTGATGGAAAGAAGTTACCGGCACTAAAGTAAAGTTTCCTCTTCTGCATTCCAACATTTGTTGGACATTGGTCAGTTTCATTTTCAAACATTGGATGCCTTTCAATACTTGCTTTTATTGATGCTATTTGTTCTTGCATATGTACCTAAAATATACATTTCAAATAAATTATAAATATTGCCCAAATATAATGAAGAATTGAATATGTTTAAAAAATCATCACTTAAATTTCACTGTTCAAAGTTTCAAATTTTATTATTAAAAAATGTAGCAAAATTTAAACTGAAAAATATGAAATATAAAGATATTAGAAATACTATTAGATTTATTCTAAATTCATTAAGAAAATTAAAGACACAGAATCAATTCAACTATCTAACATAATTTAATTACTTCTATCCTTTAAGATAATTACACAACATTTATTAGCCTATTAATTTATTTTACTGACAATAATTCTTAGTGACATAAATTATTTATGATAATTTTAATTAATAATAGCTAAATGGCATCATAATTGTTACTATTATCACAATCGCTTATCACTGATATAGTTTGAAAAAAAAAAGAGAATACTTGTTGTTGTTTCATATGATAGAGAAATTGCATTTGCATAGTTGAGACAAGTTTACTTTTTTCATTCTTCCAACATATTTTCCACAATGCAATTCCACCAAATAGTGTTACTCCAAGGAGTATTGTAAGTAATACACATATAATTAATTCAATTCGATTCCACTGCATATCATTTAGTCGATAGGATAAATTAGCATTTACTAAAAATTTCTTTTTAACTTATTAAAAATTCCATTTTTAAATTAGATTTTATTTTTCGTTTTATCGCTAATATTTGTTATTTAGTATGTGCAATGTTCAATTTAATATAATTGGCAATAGTTTGCACAAATTTCATAAAATTGGCTTAGAAATTGTTGCCTGCTAAATCATTTTGTTTAGTTCATTCGTATTTACATTTACAAGAAAAACAATTAAATAAGTTTAATTTGATCAAATAAGTTAGCAATTCAAAAGTTATTCAGTTTTCAGCTACAATTCAAATACGATTATTCAAATACAGAATAAAAATTTTACCATGTACACCAGCAATTCGGAATGCAATGCAGTATAATTCAGAATCGGCATTGTTGCAGGATATTTTTAACTGTACAATACTACCTTCCATTTTTTTAGCATCTGTTTCACTTCCTATCCACTAAAAAGAAATTAGAAAAAAATTTAAAAAATTCAAATCTTTTTAACTGAAAACTTTTGAAGTCAAAAATAAGTCAGGTAAAAAAAAAAAGAAAAAACTGCTAGCATTTTTTTTTTCAAACTAACAAAAATATTAATTACCAAGAATGGTTAAAGCAATTTATGGAATAAGTATATATTATGTTAAAAAAAATTTGTATTTAAAAGTTTCCCGAAAATTGCTGCTATTAAAGTAGCAATATATTATAATATTTTTAAGTAATTTATGTTTTCCATTAGAAATTCAATTCAGTTTAAATATTTGCTGCAAATTGAAATATGCAAATTAATTAATGGTAATTATCAAGGCAATCATTCTTGATGCTCAATAAACAATCCAAACAAATGTTAAATAAATGAATATAATAGTACCAAGTGCATACAATAAGATAATTAGTGTAATTGTAGCTTTCCAATTTAAACAGTTCACTATCATTGCGTAATATCCAGAGATCGTCGGTTTGTATAAAAACATCTCGTACAAAGCATTTAAAATCATCTTCATCAATGATATTTCTTTGTTTTACCACTTCTAAAATAATTTTTTTTTTCAAAATTAAAATTTAAAAAGACCATATTTAAATCTATACATACATATACTGAAAATTAGAAAATAAAACATTAAAAAAAATTACCATTCCAAAGAATTATATGTGAGGGAGCAAAAATGCTGTTTGTTGCCGGTATACTAAAAGTTGGTAACCATCGTTTGACATGATCATTGATGTATTGAAATGGTATTTGTTGACGACATTCATCTAAGATTTCAAAAAATAAGATATTATTGCAAGAAGATATAATTTTTAAAATTTTGCAAATTTTATAAATTTCATTATAACAGTGTCATTGACTAAAAACGTCATGTTTAATTTTGGCTAATTTATTTTCATAACAATTACTTTTTAGTTTTTAATCACTATTATTGTAAAAATTTCCCTTTTTTTCGTTGTAATTAAAGCAAGACAATTTTGATTTTTATTTAGTTATAAATACAAAGTATGTCGTCAATATTCTCCATGAGAATATTGACAACAAACTTTGAGATTTTTTAACGAAAAAAGGTTAGCCTTATAATAAAAAAAAAAATACAAAATATTAGAAAAAAATTGTTGGAACAAATAACATAATATAATATTTTATTGTTTGCAAAATATTATTTAAAGATTAGCATTTTCGACTATTATCATTTAAGGTTTAATCATCCATGAAATTAAGTTTTAATTAATCGAAAAAAGAGAGTAATCCTTAGCTACACACTAATTTGTCAATTTGTTCATAGCTATTTATTTTACAAAAAGGAAATTTGAAAAAATATATGTATTGTCATTTCACGGAGTGGAATTTCTGTGTAATGTTTAAAAGAGGAAAAAGAAAGTAGTAAACCGAGGACATTTCATTCCTTCCTTTCTTTTTTTGTTCCCCATTTTCAGTTTGATAATGTCTAAACTGATCGATAAATTAAAAGAAATTAAAAAAAAATATGTTAGCATGAAATACAATACAATAAAAATGTGAATTAATTTGTAATAAGTTAACAAAAACAATTGACTATTAGTTTTATTTTGCATTAGATTAATTAGTAATTGCACTGAGTAAAATATGCTTACTATTATGTTTTATAACAAATGTACAACAG